GTATGTACAAAACCAAAAGGTGGAGGTGAAGAAGGGTGGCTGTGCCTGTTGCGCGGGGTGCTGGATGGTGCCAGTCCCTTCCCTGTTCTCACAGTCTGTTTCTTGCCCTATTTGCTGGGGAAACGGACCACAACGAATGATTGCTGCACCGAACACCGTCACTGCCAAAGTGTGCAAGTACTGCGGTTCCTTCACCTCTGGCGGGCTTGTAGATTAACTTTCCTTGCCTAGTACGTACTCTACTACAACGAGTCAACGCTACTTTCAATAAATTGGCAGTCCTGCCGCCCCCACAAAGAGGGGTTGGTTGTTCACTCTTGGCTTGCGTGATTCAAACAAGTTCTCTATTCCTTCTCCAGGGTTTTCACCTAAGACCAGCTGGCTTCTTCATGAAGCCATTTTAGGCCAAGTCGCCTTTAGCACAGAAAAGCAATGTGAATAATCGCCTTTAAGAGATAATGCCTTGATCATTCTTGTAGTGCAGCAAGCTGAAGGAGACAAACTAACTACTAATACCAATATGCCAAAGAGGGAATCAACACTTGTATCTGGAAAGCTCCAGTACTTACAGGCAGTAATTCAATGTCTCCTTAGCAGCCAGCTACCTTGTATACAGATATATTTTTTTTTAAATTATATTTTTAATACATGAAGCATGTCATGAAATTCTGTTGTGACCTATAAGAACTATCCTTCAGTGTTACATGGCTCTAGTGGTTAAGCTGCATTGAATTTTGACAGATGTGTAACTGCAGGTAGTAGGTTTTGGGTTTTTTTTCCTTTTTTTTTTTTTTTTTTTCCCCAAGCATACCCATGGCAGGGGGGATTGAAACTAGATGATCTTTAAGGTCCCTTCCAACCCAAACCATTCTAAGATAAACTGTGTTTGGGGATCTCTCCTTCTACATGATTAGCTTTCTGATTAGCTTCTCAGTGCTAAGATTTATTTTAATTGTTCCACATGGAATTTCCTGCAGTGTTGAACACTTGCATAACCTAAATTGTAGGATTACTGGTTCAGAACTGGCAAATAAGCATTGTGTATCCTTTTTCTGAAGGGTTAAAGTGGTGTGCATTTCATTTGCACTGTTGCTGTGAAGAAGTAGGAGGGCTGTCAGGAAAGCGATACTTTCTAAGATTTAGTAATGACTTTTTTCCTAGATGTCAGATATCCCAAAACAGCTGGCTGTCCCCATTTTTCTAATGGCTATTGATACTGTAATCAAGAGTCAAAATTTCATTAGTGACAGCTGACTGCACTGTGAAATGCTTTCTCCCCTCTCTTGGGAGGCTGCAGTCAAATAGACACTTTAAATGGCTCTTTTCTATGCTTTTGTTTAATCCAGTATCTCCCAAGATTCCTTCTTCAACACGTGTTCTGTTGCAAATCTAGTGTTTGGAGATTGTTACCTTCTTCCTCCAGCTGCCAGTTAGTCAAAGCTGATGTTTGTGGGCTGTATTTGTGCTTAGGCCTGACCCAGAGTAAGTGGTGATGGTGCTTGATGGGATTACCCCTGGAGGTATATTTTCCTGGTGCTTAGGAGCTGGGAAAACCAACTTGCTGCTGGCATTGCCAGTCTGTGAGGCAGTTGTAGCCAAAGGTTACCAAAAATAAAAATGAAAAAAAAAAAAGAAAATGGTGCCATCACCTAATAGTTTTGGTGAGGAAGCAATAGTTACGGCAGAAGGTGGATTTATTGGACTAGCAAGTCATACCCATTGTAAAAGTTCTTTGCAGTCTTCTCTCCTTAAGATAACTGTGAAAAAAAAGAGAGGATGAAAATCTAGATGAAGGCTTTTTGTCCTTTTCTTTGAGATCTCCTTTGCATACAAACACCGTGGGCACTAAAGGAATAGGCTAGACATTGAAATGTCTGGCTGCTGTCAGGGTGGGTCCGACATTCTGGAAATTTAAGCTTGCATTTGAGTGTTTCTAGTGTTTTCAGTACTTAAAATTTGCTGGATGTCACCATAAAACAGGGTTTACTGATTTTAAGGTCAGGTATAAGGTACTTTTAGGACATAGGGGTTTTGTGCATTTAGTTTTTGTTCTTACAGGCCTGGCCCTTAGGACCACCGTGAATGAGAACTGCAGTCCATGGCTAACATTCCTGAAGGTTTATAAGCCCCAGCACTTCACTTGAAGTATAAAAAGTCTAAAATAACAGCATTATGAGAAAGGTGTCTGTGTCTGTTTTCCTATATAAAATAGGTTTTACTGGAGATACTTCATCTTAGAAGGCATTGGATACTCTACCTCCAAGACATTCTGTAGCTAAATATGAGCCTCGTCAAGGGGAAAAAAATATATCTTGGTGCAAAAATTTTATTGATGTAATATAGTACAGTTGGAAATTAAGAAAGGGATGTTAAAACAGTCCTATAACTTCAGGGATTGTATTGGTCTTTTTTTATGGTCACAGAAAACGAGTTTTGTAATGAAGAGCTGACATGTGCTGTTACATGCTACAAGGAATTCAGCTGACCTTTAAATATAGCTGATATTAAAAATCATGTGAAATGCTGTCCTTTCAAGAAGGATAACCAAAAGAGTTCTTAATAAACTAAATGTAAATCTTCTGGATACAACATGTATGGCCATTTGTTTATGCACCTACCATTTGAGAAGTGAGTTTTAATATGAAGACTTGTTTTTAAATAATTCTTATTTCATGCAACTAAACTGAACAATTTCTCAGATAGCACTGAACCTGAAAATCTGATTTGTCTCTCTTCCCTCCCCTCAAAAAAAAAAAAAGAAAAAAAAAAAAAGGTTGCTGGTGAATTTTAAGTCTTAGAGCAAACACAAGTGGAGACAGGAATAAATTATGTTTAAAAATTTATAAGAGAGACTTCTGCAAAGTATTTTACAGAACAGGTATTTAATGTATTGAGTGCAGTCCTATTCATAGTAGGATCTTTTAATTTTTTTTTCTGTACAAAATGCTATTAAAGTTTTTAAAAACTTGTTAATTTTGTGGATGTGGTGTTGTGGGTGCATTCTGACCTTGCAGTAATTGAGTAGCTAGTGCTAAAAATATTGGACAGGACATGGATAAAAGAGAATATGTACTGTTTAATTACTCTTGGATCATTACTGTGGCTAAGCCTTTCTGTTCTGATGTTACCATATATATCTCTCTATCTCTCTCTCATATACATACAATGGATAAAAGGAAGAGCTTACCTTTGTCTCTTGTAAGGTTGGTGTAAGCATTCCATCTTAGATTCTTTTCTTAACACTTTAGATGTTACTGCAAAGTGCAGATTAACTTGAATTTACAGGATGACTAGTAAGCATTGGAATGTCTTACTTCATCTCCCACTCTGTATGTTTTTCTGCTTTAGAAGAATGCTTTTCTAAAAGAAAAACAAAAAAAAAGGAAAACCAAAAATCTTATTATGGTTCTTGCTTGGTCTTATGCTATCATTGCATTTATCTTTTCTGCTCAGTGATCCGTCTTCACATGTTGCTCTGACTTCTTTGTCTTCTTTTGGAGTCCTTGCACTGCCTTTCTGATAATCACTGTACAGTGTGTTACTGTCTCACCTTTGGAGCATCAGGCCAGCAGACTTGAACCTCTCTTGCACCGGGGGCCTCACGTTGCGGTGGATCCCGCTGCCCCCCATTTCTAACTGTGGTAACTCTTGTCTATTTGCCAGCATCCCTTGTGTGCTGTATTGTCTGTGGGATTGGGTTGGGTGCCCTGAAACCTTTAAAATTTGTGTCCAGAAGTAAAATTTAAATACTTCTTTTTCTTTTAATAATTGAACTGTGAGTCCTCTTTCCTTAGGGTAGGGATTGTTAGGAAAATCCTTGGTTCTTATGTGCTTTTTTGGCATAGGAGTTACATCACTAGGTTTTGTTCTGTTTTTATTTCAATACCTTGGGCTACACTGCTAACTGAAGGCCTCTGTGCTGTTAGCATACACTGAACTACTGAACCCAGAAGAATTAAAACATCTCAGATGTTTTTGTGGTATTGTTCAGGATAGGATTTTGCATTACTTGTAATGGAGTTTAACCGCAGGCTGCCAGAAGGTGTGGTCTTGCTGGATGTGGTAGTGGTTTTTTTTTTTTTTTTTTTTTTCTTCCAGCCAGAGTGTGAACTGGATCAGCTTGTCGTTGCAAAATTAGCGTTGTCTTTGTTATGTTCAGTCAGATCACTGAGCTGGTCCAGCTCACCCAGTGTGACTGGCAGTGCAGTGGCTCAGTCCAGCTCAAGGGAGAGCTTGGGAGCACCCAAGCAGGTGCCCCTTTCGCAGCAGCCTGGATTGAGGTGTTAATCAACAGGGATGTGCTGGGGTTTTCTGGCTAATCCACTCTTTTCTTTAAAGTATGGTAAATTTGTTGTGAGGAGAACTCTGTAATTACTACTCTTTACCTTCTTTCCTCCCCCATATTACATATTGAGTCAGTAGAATAATACAGTGAGATTTCTTGCCTGTACGTATCCTGGGTTTATGCTACTTAAAGCTTTAAATAATCGAATATTAACGAATCTCCTATGACACTTTCATCCACCTTTTACATAAAGTTATTTGTAACCTATAGTTTTTGATAACGTTTCATATTATTTCCTCTGAAGTGTATGGGGCCTTCTGTTTTGTTAGGAGTGGGCCATTTAGGCAAGAAGGCTGGGGGACTACTGTGATAATGTGCTGGGGCTGGGCAGCTAATTAGATATGAACACTACTTGCTGACAGGAACGATCCCCACTGCAGATGGTGTTTTCTGTAAAGAAAACTGCTGCTTTCAAGGATTTTGTAACAGCATTTTCTGAATGGTTAGCTGACAAGTGATCTTTAAAAGATATTTTATAGTCTGTAGCATCTGAGAAGGGAAGAGATCAATTCTTTATGCACTGTAGATCAAGAATGATAAGAATAATGTTTAATAATTTGAGAAGAATTTGATTTGGTATTTTCTTTTTTTTTTCTTCTTCTCCCCTCCTCCCCCTCCCATCTGACTTGCTGGTCTGGCACTTTTGTTTCTGCAGGGGAAAGCTATGTATGTGGCTCCATAGAACCCTTCAAGAAACTGGAGTACACGAAGAATGTAAACCCAAACTGGTCAGTGAATGTTAAGACAACTTCTACTTCTCGTTCAGTGCCATCTCTTGCCACTGCTAAAGGAGGTACTCCAGATGCAAAAGAGAATAAGGATTTCATTAGGCCTAAACTAGTCACTATCATCAGGAGTGGAGTGAAACCAAGGAAAGCAGTCCGGATTCTGCTCAACAAGAAGACAGCACATTCATTTGAACAGGTTCTTACTGATATAACCGATGCCATCAAGCTGGATTCAGGGGTGGTTAAACGCTTATACACACTAGATGGAAAACAGGTAAGAATTTTCATGATGGTCATTCTCAGCATGAAGAAAATATAATTTTCCAAAAGGAAAAGAATAGAACATTAGTAAAAAATTACTTTTCTCTAGAACATAGAACCAGGCCTTCCACTGCTTATATTGTATTTAAGATCTGTAAGCAGTTCAGGAACATATCATGAAGCATTACTTGGCCTCAGTGACGGTCTTGCCATTTATGATAAATAATAGCTCTAAATCTGTCAGTTGAAAGTGTGATGTGGTTTTGGCTCTGCATGCCGGAAACGTAGGATGAAGGGTGTCATTTTAAAGAAGCTCATTCTGTTAACTTGTTTCAGCTTTTTCTTGCAGCAGTTTTATGAGTCATTGTACTTGCCTTTCCATAAACTGTAAGAACAAACAGTGAGGACACATTTCACCATGATAAATGCAGGCCTACTGCTGTCCTGAATGACCAAATGATGAATCTTACTGCAGCTAGAATGGACTATGAAGAAGGTGCAAGCTTAGAAAATGAGTAAGCTTTTTCCTTTTGCAGGAAAACAGGTAGGGGTTTGTGTGGTGCCCACATTTATTGAGGAGTCTCTTGTAGGTTACATGTTATTTCTTCTATGAAATAGCTTCAAGCAGTGTCTCCTTTTTGCTGACTTATTAAATTGCAGTAGGTTGAGATTTTTGAGAGGCTTATTATTGAACTTGGGGATCGAGGGACAAGAAGAAACATTAGAGAGTAATCCTACTTATTTTTGTCTTTCACTTTATTTGTAATTTATCTACGGACATGTATTAATTATAGCAAAACTGGAGAAGCTGTTAACCTGGTGAAGGGCAAGACTAATTTCAGCATGACCTGAATTGATTTAGAGCAATGATGACTCTAGAGAAATAAGGCAGATACTTGCATTTACAGATGTAACTTATTAAACTGAAGAAATGATAGAGATATAAAATGTGGGCAGAAAGATGAGCAAACAGTCTCCCTGAGAAGCTAGAAGCTGCTAGAGACCAAGATAATTCTGCTGTGATATAACTGTGTTTTACAGATTCTAGGCTCAATGATTCACAGATATACAGCTAACAGTGTAGCTATCAGGAGATGCTGCAAAATATGCTTGATACAGATAAATACTCAGTCAGCTGGACACAGTGGTGATCCTAACATGTATGCAGTTACTGGGGTTAATATGCAGGCATAGCTCTGGAAGCAGCTACAGCAGTACCCTCTGATCTCAGAGAGGGCTGGTTAATGGACAAGCCACTTAATTCAGAGCACTGGTTCAAATCAGGGGCAAGCCTGGCTTGACCACAAGTCCCTTCCATCTGCTGTTTTGTATCAGTAACCTTTGGCACCAGTTACAGACAGTAGTTTAGTTCCTGATGACTGCATACATGCCTGTAATGATCCCATTACTGTGACTTTGTTGGGAACTTTGACCTGGAGCAAAAATGTGGATGTGAAGTTCTTTTTGCCTGCAGCAAAGGTAAAGTGTGTGTCTGGGGAAGCTCTCAACTCATGTCCTTCTTACCTTGCCTCGTGCTCCAGGGAGCACTGAGGATATTAAATTTGAGGAAGGAGTTGGGATTTTAAAGCTGCAGAGATCAGTGGTGGTCTCTGCTGTGACCTTGACAGAAGATCTTGAGTGACTATTCCGGTTCATGCAAACCCTGTCAATAAAAAACAGATGCATATCTGTTTTGTATTGTATATGTAAATAAACTCATGATTTTGCTATAAAGAAGTACAGCCTGGAAGGATGCCAATGTGGTCTATTGTCTCCTGGATAATGTGCTCACTTAATTTTTTTTATATTCCAAACTCCCCTTTAATGGTTGTGCTTAAAATGAAAAAATATCTTTACACCTGTTTTAGAGCTCTAATTGGTAGAAGTAAATAGTACTATCCTACTACTGGGGGGAAAGGGAAGACCAGGTTTTCTTGGCCCTGATGTTGTCAAAATTCAGTTGAATCCTTTGTCAAGTCATGGGATTTGAGATGAGCTTAAATCAGTGGCGTACTGGGACATTTGTTACCTGCCTCATAGCCTGAAACCCTTGTGTCTAAAGGCTCTTCCAGGAGACTGGTGTCTCCGCACTCCTTCCCTTTTTGGCTATACAGTCGAAATTGCGTAGCTAACTGCCTAACCCTACGGGTAGGGGTGGGATTTGGGGGAAGGTGTGTGCGTCCTGCCAGCGTAACAGAGACCTTCTTCGCTGCACGTACAAAGCAGCTTTGCTGGCAGAAAGGGAAACGAATGATCCCGTGCTCAGCAGGAGCAGCCTGTTGCTCACCCCTGTGCGGGGAAGTCATTGATTTCCTGTGCTGCTAGGCAATTGCTGCTCCATTTTTCTCTGCCAAAAGCCTGATCTCCCAGATGGTGTTGGGGGCACGATGATGGATTTCTTTATTGCTGAACTCAAGCTGTGAATGATTACTGGGAGGAAATCCATGGTAAATCCAAAATTTTTCCATTAGTGTTTATAGTTGAGAACTTCTACTGTGACTGCTGCTGGAGCTTTGAAGGTTCTGGAAAAGCCTGCATTCAGTGGCTAAATCTAACAAATCTATGATTAAATCTTTCATCGCCAACTTAAAAAGCAATAAAATCTTAAAGCTCTGAGCCAAGAAAAGTAATTTACTGTAAGGATAAGGGAATAAAGCTCTCCTAGGATTATTCTTTGGGAATGTAACTTGGAGAAAGGCTATTCTGTACAGTCATCTCTTGTGGGTTATTTTGAGGCCAACACTGGAATTGCCCATGCATGGCAAAAATTGACGTGAGTCCCATATATTGTTAGCACAGGTGGGCAGTGAGGTATGTATGCTGTTGCTGGGTGCTATCACTAGATGCCTCAGGCTAAAAAAAGAAAGTAATGGGAGTCAGAGTCTTCACTGGGCATCCGAGTTAGCTGGTTGTCCCATACTGACACTACACACTGAGGAAATGAGCTTCGATGCTCTCCTTCCAACAGCCCGGTTAGTTGTGATGTTTTGATTTGTATCTCTAAAAGACATTAATAAATATTATGTTGAGTTAAAAGGAATTTAAACGATGGCTTATAAAATTTGATGACAATGTAAAGAGCTTGTCTTGATGAGAGAGTAGCACTTGGACAATCAGTACCTGATGAAAGTTATGATTGCTAGGAAAAACGCACTTCCATGACATTCAGTTGCTTCCCCCATCCCAAAAATTCCTTCTTGGTTTTCGAAAATTCAGTAATTTTTGGCGCACATGATGCTTTGTGGGTGTTCCTTAGAACTTCAGAGCGCTTGATTAAGTAGGTGTGTTATGGTAGCCATTTCAATTTTTTAATGCTGGAATAGCAGAAGAAAGGAAAAAAAAAAACCAAACCCCAAAGCAAAAAACCAGCAAACTAAAACCACAAAAAACCCCAAGAAAACAACCCTCAAGAAAACAAACCCCAACAAAACTAACAAATCTTGTCTCATTGGGTCAGTGGCAGTTCAGGGACTGAAACTTGGTGTTTTCCAGTATTGGGTAGGTATTTACTTTGGATCCATTCAATCCATTTAATTTAATTTTGTTAAAATGTTTGTCTGTATTACAAACAGGGTGACTGGTGGTTTATTTGCATTTCCTTATAACTCATCAGAATCTGTGTTTTGACTTCAAGGTTTCTGAAAATTTAGAATATAATTTAATTTTTGCTAAAAGGGGCGCAATATACAGCTGCAGTCTGACTGTATAGCACATTGATGGCCTGCATTTAGTATATTCTCGCAGTTAATTATTAATGATTCCTCAAAGCCGGATAGGTTTCATATTGAGTCTAGAATAGTATATGTATACTTTTATGGATACGTTTATTTTTTTTTTCTGCGGGTACAAGGAACTGATGCTGTTTGTACTCTAAAGGAAGGATAGAATCACTTCTCTGTAAGATGCTGATGAATTGGAAGAAGGTGGTGGGACTCTCAGAAGTGTTTAATAGTCTTAAGAGCTCAGGCCAAAATTAAAACCTTTCCAGGGGAAGGGAGGTCTTGAAGTGTTTTCCCGCCAACTTTGCTATGTAAGGAAAATAAAAAAAGAATGAGTAGGTTTAATGGCTGCCTCTAGGAATACAAACCACGAGGGCATGCTCTTACTGTGAGTATTACTTTTGTTTGTTTGTTTGTTTGTTTTTGTTTAAAAGGTTGTTTAAGTACATGAAAAGATATTGTTAGGGCTGACCCTTAGTATTATCATGTACTTGCGCAGAGAAGGAGCACTTTTTCATAGCTAAAACATGTCTTGCGTTACTGTAGCTGCACTGTTGGTTTTTAACCTTCCCTTAACAGAAGGTGTCATTTTTAGTTTGATGTGCATTAAAATATAGTTTTGTAAAAGGCAGCGTGTAGACACACAATGAAAACATCAAGGATACAAGCTGTCTGCGGAGATAGAGCCCGGTTGCTGTGTCACAAGCTCAGTTCTCTGGTTTCTGTTTACTTGGTGCACTTGTAAGACAACAGCAATGACTAGAATGGGAGAAAATTAATGAAGGTCACACAAAACAGCAACATTGTGAAACAGTGCCATTTTTAGAAGTGTTATGATGTGTGTATTTGTACAGGGTATTTACAGTTTGCATGTTTAGGTAAAGACTAAAGTTTGGACAAAAGTGCTGTATTACTTTAAGTCCTTCATTTGCTTTTGGCAGAACAAACATCTGGTTTATAGTGGGACCTACTTATTTGAACAGGTGGTTTGTTTAGCTTAACAAGATGCAGTCATGCAAATTATTTTTCAGTTTATGCATTATGCTGTCGATTTGACCCCAGACAGATAAGTGGTCAGTGGCAGAGATACCAGAATAAAAGTCACTATCTGATTTTTTTTTTAATAAATATGTTATTACGAATCAAATTACCTTTACAAATATGAAATATAGCTACTGTTACTTAAAGGCATACCTTAAGAAGTGTGTGTGAGAGGTGTAGGATGTCCCTCAATAACCTTGCTTTAAACCATTAAAATAGCTATTTAAAAAATTGTGGCTGCAAGGAAAGTGAA